AAATGCAAACAAAGTCCCATGCCAAAGCAAAAGTGCCAGAGGGTGGCACTTGGGGCATCCCACCCTCCTCAGCACTCAGTATCACTGGCTGAAAGCTAAGCAGTGTACTAAGGCTGTTACTCATTTGATCTTGCCCTTAGCAAGGTTAGCATTTTGTCACCCTTTTTATAAACGAGGAGGCTGAGAGGCAAGTCACAGCACTAATCAGTGACAGAGTCAGAGTTTGGACCTCCAGCTGCCTTACTGCAGAACTCATACATTTACCCACCTTGTCACACCTTGTCACACCGTTTTTCTCACGTGTGTGTGTGCTGTGTACATGGTTATGTGTATGTACATGTGTGTGCAGGCACATGAGTATACATGTATTCATGTGTATGGAAGTCAGAGGTTGACTTTAGGTGTCTTCAATTGCTCTCCACCGTGTGTGTTGTTTGTGTGTGTGTGTGAGGGGGGGGGTTGTGTTCATTCACGTGTGAGTGCAGGATTGCACTTGCTATGGTGTGCTTGTAGAGGTCAGAGGACAACTTTAGATGTTGGCCCTTCCCTTCCAACTTGTTTGAGATCAGGGTCTCTCTTTGCTGTTCTCGGTGCATATGTGGACTCTCTAGCCCTCAGACTTCTGGTGGTTCTCCTGTTTGTGCTTCTCACCTCACACAGGAGCCCTGATATTATAGACGTGTGCTGCCACGCCTTTACATGGGCGCTGGGGGAGGGGACCCAAACTCAGGTCCCTATGCATGTGTGGCGGTGAGTATGTCCACTGAGCCATCTCCCCAGCCCCTACAATGCTTTGTCTCACTGTGATGTAAGAACTGAACCAGCTGCTGTTCCTGCCTCGCCTCTTTGTCTGCTGTTCCTGCAGTCCACTCCCCTAGAGCCAGCTCCTGCCTTCTGCCTTGGGTTAACTTTTCCCCAACCCTGTCACCTGGATACTCAGTGGCTCCCTTCCCTTCTCTGTCTGACTGAGCTGGAACCAGTCACCTCTGTTCTGGGACACCTTGGTCATTGATGAAAAACTGCTTGTTTGTGAATCCTTTCTTAAGGAAAAAAGATTTACCCACTTGTAATCTTTGCACAGTGAATAGAGATTGGCTTTATTTAAAACAGGGTATGTCCATGGCATGAATGACTGTGGTCTCCTGTCTTAGCAACTTAAACCAAGGGGAACTGTGTCAGTTAAGCAATGCCTTGACAACAGGCAGAAGTGGGTATACCCTCTGCCCTCCTGGCAGCTGGTACACAGGGTGGCAGGTCCTTGATTGTTTACTTATTCAGAGTCCACAGAATGCATGTCCTCAGAAAGGCTGGCTTCAGCATCTCTCCCCAGGCTGGCTATCCCTTTGCTAGTGTAGACGAAGTGCCCACCTGCCACACTCCCGAAAAGAGCATCGGCATGGGTGGTGCCACTCATCTGAGACCCAGACCACTTAACCATGTCCTGCTTTCTCAAATCCTTGAAAGAACCAGGCAAGGACATGTAAACATGAAACTTTTTTCTTAACTTTTCATGTATTTCTTTTAGTGTTTCATCAGCAAATCTGTGTGTTTATACTTTAAAAGGCAGTGACAACCAGGAAAAGTGTTCCCGCTTTCTCAGCATAAACTGTTGAACTTGTCTTCCAAGATGCAACTTTTAGAGGGGCCTTTCCTGGGAAGCCTTCAGTGGAGCTTGTGGCTGTGAATCAGAGGCTCCATCAAGCCACACTGTTCATACAGGCAGCAGTCCTTATGAGGGCAGCCCACTCTTCCTGGCTACCACTACCCCCAAAGCAAGGTCATTTGTTCTCAATCGTGTGTGTGTGTGTGTGTGTACACAGGTGTACATGTGCATGCAGAGGCCAGAGGACAACCTCAGGTGTCATCCCTCAAGAGTTGCCACCTTAGGTTTTGCTTGTTTGGTTTTTGGTTCCTGGAGCTCAGTGAGTGGACTAGACCGGCTCGCTGGCTGGCATGCCCCAGGGATCCACCTGTCGCTGCCTCCCTGGCACTGGGCTTTCAAGCATTTACCTTCTGAACCCAACTGAAAAAATAGCAACAACAAAATCCCCCACGCCCAAAAGATAGTGACTTCTGGAGGCCCAAATCAGGCTTTCAAGATTGCGTTTTGCCAGCTGAGCAACCTTTTTAACATTTTGCCACAGTGCCAAGCCATGGCAGTAACCGGGAGTGAGGGAGCAGGGCAGCCTCTCTTGGGATGCCTGTCTTCCTCCCACTGCAGCATGAGGAGCTAAACCTCCATCCATGACATCCCCATAGAAAGGCAAAGCAAAGGTGCTGGTCACCAAAGCAGATAGGAAGAAAGAGAAGAAACAGCGGATGCTAAACAGCCTAAAGAAGGCATGAAGGCTTACATTCAACTGAGATATAGGGAACTCTCGGGACTGAGGTGGGAGGTGAGGTCTTTGTAGAATGGCCCTTGACTAAATACCTGAAATTCCTCCAGGAGCACCCAGAGGTCTGAGAGTCTCAAGGCCTCCTGTCCATGAGCCCTGCACACTTTAGGTATGTAAAAGTCCCTTGCACACTTTGGGTATGTAAAAGTCCCTTGCACACTTTGGGTATATACAGTCCCCTTGGGGGAGCCTGAGGGAGGAGTCCTGAGATGAGCCTGCGACTGTGAAAGAGGATTAGGAGGTGCTGAGTGGCTCAGGTGCCAGGGCAGGGAGCATCAGCACCCACCCTATGAAACCCTCCAGCTGCTCTATGAAACGGCCCGATAGAAACCTGAACTTCCCACGGGTTTTCCAAGGCAGCCGAGTTTCTAGGCTGTTGGGTAGAGAGAGCATGACACAGCAAGATAGGGCCAGCCAGACCCACTGTGGCCATAGCTTTCAGCTTCCCACAGCTCCCAAAGGCTGCATCCAGGGCTTCGGTCTATCGTCTCCCCACCCCCTCTGCTCTTCTTAGCCTGGCGCTGGAGGAATGATGATGATAGGGCGGCCGGGTGTAGGATTACTTCTGCAGTCTCTAACCTGTAAGTGCTATTTTTCCATGTCTGTGCTCTCAGCGGGCCCTTCTTCCAGAGCCGGCTGCACCCCAGTTCAAGCCAGCCATAGGGGAGCCCATCCAAGATACTGGCAGGCATGCTGGCTCCCTGCTAACTGTCCAAAACACCTCTCTGTCCCTCGTTTTTTCCCTTTCTACTAACTTTATACACACTCTGGAACAAAACAGCCAGACCCAGCTCTGGATCTAACACATTCCCTAATCCTTACCTGAAGAACCCGCAGGCTGGCAGCTCTCCTCACTCCAGTTGCTCACAAGGGGGTTGGAACTCGCTCGCTCGGTGGCCTTTGCTCTGTGTATCACGGTTCCGGTGCCGAGACTGTCCCTTCAGCCGGCTCTCCGAACCTCAGGATTACTGCAGCTCTGTGTGGGGAGAGGGACGGGCTGTGGCATGCACATCAGGTTGCTGGACCGCCTCCAGACACTATGCCAGTCCCAGAGGGCTGTGTGGGAAGCAGGGAGGTGGGTGGGGGAGCGGAGAGCGCTGGCCTCTAGGTCTGCCTTTGGCCCTTGTTCGTCAGCCGGTCAGCCGGAGGGGCCCCGCCTGCAGCCCACCACCCAGCCGCACCCCACCACGTCAGTCCACGTGAAGCTCTAAGTGCCCCTAGCTCTTGACGGTCTGCAGCAGACCTGGGGACTGCAGAGATGGCAGACAGTGACAACAACTATCTTGGGTGTTATTTTAGCATGGTTTGTATCGGGACAGAAGCCCGAGCCCAGTGTATTACCGTCTGAGCAGAATCCTGTTTATTTTGAAGCCTCTGTCACCAGGGAAACAACTGGTAGTGTTGAAAGACATTCCTCTAAAACCGGGCGGCTAGCGAAAGGGAGCCCTTTTCTGTCCTGTCATCGGTCCCCACGCATGGTGTAAGTGTCTGTCTATATGTCTACACCGTTCCCAGAGCCAAGCCCTATTGAGGGCATTCTGTGGAGCTAGGCAAGGAGTGGCCGCCTGGTTAGGGCTAGGGAGGGGTGTCAGAGAGTGTCCCCAGCATTTGTCATTACAGTTCCCATCTATCCTGGCTAGATTAGGGGGTCCTCAGGTGAGCCTGGATCCTCTTTAGTGAACCATAGATGTCATCTTCATACCATAGAGAAGGAAGGAAGGGAGGTTGCCTCGTAATACAGATGACTCTGGCTTGAAGGTAGAGAATGAAGTGGACTCAGAAGACATGGATCAAAGAAACCGGCTGGAACCATATGATTAATTGTGGCTGATCATTGACGAAGAGAACCTCCCTTGCACAGGCATTTCAACCTGGGAGGCATGAGTGAGCATTCATGCGTGTGTGGGCTCCAGCCTGCTCACCTATTGGTTCAGATAGAGAGAGGCACGTGGACCTGAAGGAACTGGCAATGTACTCCAAGGTCTCTCTCCCTGATCAATGTAGTCGATCCGGGGTAGTGAATCCAGGGAGGGCAGGATGCGGGGGAGGAGAACAAAGTCTGAATTTGAAACTCACACATTTTGAACACTTACTTGGTCTCTAGCTTGTGGCACTAGTTTAAAGGCTGCAGAGTCTGTAAGAAGTGGGCCTGGCCGACAGAATGAGGTTGGTAGGAGCAGGTCTTTGACCATTGTACCTACCCCTGCCTCTGGTCTAGCTCTCTCCACTTCCTGGTCCGTACCAGGTGGCAGCCACCCCTCTGCCTTCCTGTCACCATGCCTTCGCCACCACTGATGGACTGGAGTGTCTCTGAAACCATTAGCCACCGTGAGCCTTTCCTCACGCAAGTCATTTCTGTCGGATATCTTGTTATAGTTAACAGTGGGGGTGGGGGGGTCTCTTGGCTGAAAGAGCAACCGGGGCCATTCCTGGGCCTTCAGAATGAGGAGTCCCAAGGAGCTCGGCTCCTGAGGCAAGAGGCTCAGACATGACATGGCTCTGACCATGGGTCTGTCAGAGGGGACTGGTTCTCAGAGAAGCCCTGCAGAGGAATGCCATCACAAATATCAAACCTCGTCTTCCTGGGAAGAGCAGAAGAAATCTAGGCTGGCTAGGTCCCTAACTAGAGGGGAACCTCCTCCAACCCCTCCCACCTTGTCGCACACAGATTTCTGGCTGTGACTGAGGGTGCCATGTGCAGCTACCCTCACGCGTGCTGCTGTGTGTGAGCATGGGCCCAGCAATGTTCTTATTCAGGAGAATGGGTCACTTGTTGAAATCCAAAGTTTTCAGTGTGGAAATTACACCCTTGAGATTCACTCAGATGAGGGCAGGTGCCAGGCGTTTCTTGTTCAGTCTATCAAGCCGAGAAAGAAGAGTTCATTCTTTCAGGAAATGACAGTGTGCACATTTTGGATTCTGCAGGTTTGATTCAGGAAGCCACAAGCGTTGAACCTAAACGGTGTTTATGGTGGTCTGGATGGGATGTCCCCCATAGTCTCTGGCATTTGGATACTTGGTTGCCCGTTGGTGGTGCTATTTGCTTAGGCTTAGGCAATGTGGCCTTGCTGAATGAAGGATGTTGCTAAGGGTGGACTTTGAGGGTTCAAAAGCCACATATCCCTGGTTGTCTTGCTCTGTGCTTCCTGCTTGAGGTTTCAGAAGTGAGTGCTCAGCCTGTTGCCCCAGCTGCTGCCCTGCCCGCCTGCTGCCCCGGCTGCTGCCCTGCCTGCCTGCTGCCCCAGCTGCTACCCTGCCTGCCTGCTACCATGCTTTCCTGCCATGGTGGTGATGAGCTCTCATCCCTCTGTAAGCCTGAATAATCTCTTCCTTTTATAAATTGCCTTGGTCATGGTGATTTATCACAACAATAGAAAAACAATACGATGTCAATGCAGTAAGTGTGTGTTTGAACAGGGGCAGGTCAGCATGCCGGTGGGTCTGATCTGAGAACTGTGCAGCTATGGAACGGAGCCACCTCGTGGAAAATCTTTGGGATATTGTAATGATGCGCTCAAAGACCCCTTTCTGAACAAAAGACACAGACCCAGCGTTCCGCCCAGAGTCACTGTGTGACTAGCCCTCTCTCTCCCTGGTTTAGTCTAACACTCACTAACCTGAGCACGCTATGTTCTTGGCCACTCCTGGACAGCTCAGCTCTTCCAGGCTCCTTCTTTCCTAAGGACCTCAATAAGATTTCCAACTTTCGGCCTCCCTGCAAACTTCAGAGCACCATGGCAATCAAATGTTAGCATGCTCAACTTGAAGGTACAAGTGGAAGCTGTTATCTAATTTCTCCATTGTATCCACTATCACACACCTCACAATGCAATCCCTAATGACTGGCGTGTACTAATTTCTGTGCTGTAGTAAGTGTTTAGCAATATTATGGTCCAAATCCTGCAAAAAGGACCTTCAGTTCTTTAAGATATATTTATAATATAGTTCTCTTAATGATGACATTTAATTTTTTTGCATTTAGCATTTCTCAATTCAAATGTTTATTTCAACATGTGTAAAGGATCTATACCTATCTTGGAAACAATATGCATGGAGTTTTTAAAATCCTGAGTGATGTCTCTTGGCCCAACTGTTACCTGGAGTGGGAAGAGACTGTGAGATTCCCCAGGAGGAAAGTCTGGCCCTAGAATAGACCTGAGCCCTGCCCCAGGAAATAGTCTGGGGAAAAAAATAGCTGTGAAAGCCACTTATTAAGCACCCGCGATTCTCTAGGTCCTTCTGTGTGTGACAGAAATCATATCTTCTCTCCAACTTCTTCAGCCACTTTAAAACCCTCCTCTGTCACAATAAGACCTTTTGCAGAAACCACATGCTTCTGTGGAGGTGTGGCCTGAGGAAAACAATAGATCTTTGAGGACAGACCAAACTCCTGGTGGGGTTATCCTCAAAGATGCAAGCTTGTCCAGAATTATCTAAGGCTAAAGTGCTGGGGCTGTTAACGGAGGTGCATCCTTCTTCCGAATCTTAAGAGCCAGACTTGGCCAGCACTCAGGCAGTTGCTTCTACAGAAACTGGCTCCAGACTCTTAGGGAGAGCTCTAGAATAGTGGTTCTCAATGGGGCAGAGGCCAGGCACCCCCTTTTGTAAGCCACTAATGCTGCCACCTTTTAATACAGTTAAAAGTCATGTTGTGGTGACCCCCAACTATAAAGTTATTTTTGTTATTACTTCATAACTCTAATATTGTTACTGTTCGGATTCAGACGATAAATATCTGCGTTTTCTGAAAGTCTTAGGCGACTATGTGAAAGGGTTGTTTGATCCCCAAAGGGGTCGCTACCCACAGGTTGAGAAACACTGCTTTAGAAGGTCCATAAAAGTAGAGGACAGCATTTCTTTTCTTCCTCTCTTCTCCCCCGACCCCCAACCAATTTTATGTTCAGTGCTTCTGAACAGCAGACTCGGCACCCTCACTCGGGTGGTGTGAAAGAGACACCCATGCCGCATCGGTTGGCAAGCTTTAGAAGGTTGCCAGGAAGCACACTTTCTTCCTCTCAGGCAGAGCAGCCGCCCTGGCATCTTCTCCTGGACTCTTAAGGCTGACATTTCAGAGTGGCCTCGGCCTTTCTCCCTCCTTCATCCTGTTCAAATCAGAGAAGCCGCTCCGCGAGGCTCTGTCAGACTCATGGCATTTTCTTCCTAATCTCATTTTGACCTTGTTCAGGGCCCAACAAATCCTAATCAGCTGACAGGCGGAATCAGATGCTGAGTGCAGCTCTGCAGCCAGCATTTCCGCCTGATTATACCCAACCGGGGCCACTCAGCAAGGGCATCCTGGCCACCTGGTGAGTCAGCTGCCAAGTGGACAGGGAAGCACAGCAGACATTCTCAAGAAACTGCATTAGTTACCCGAGGCAACCTCAAGGGCAGACACATCAGCAGAGCTGGAGGGTACACCGGGTACAGTAGCTCACAGAAAGGGGTGCTTGGCCCTGCCTCACTGTTACCCAAGAACATTAGCCAATTTTTTTTCAGCAGCTATAGGCGGGACACTTGAAAAGGGCCCCTCGCACAAGTGAGCTGCTTCAGCTCCGTTAGGACCCCCACCCCCACCCAGTGCTTCTTCTAGTTTCTTTTTTCTTTTTTTGGAGACAAGGTCTCCTGTATCCCAGGCTGGCCTCGGACTCCCGTGTAAGCTAAGAATGATCTTGAACTCCTGACCCACCTGCCTATACCTTCCGATTGCTGGGATTACAAACACATAGGCCATTACATCCAGCTTCTGGGGTGCCGGGGAGCCAACCTAAAGCCTTTAGCATGTTTTGGTACAAAATTCCACTCGATTCCCTGGGCTGGTTTTGAACTCAGTGTAGACAGTCTTTCTGCTTTGACATCCTACTAGCCGAGAACTACGGGTCTGCTGTACTGCCAAATCCAGCCTGTGTGATTACACTCGGTATGCCGAAGCTCTTCTGAGAACATAGAGTACCAAAGCGTGTAAAGTGGCCCTCACCA